TTATTATGAATTTACATATAATTTAAAAGTACAATAAAAAAAAAAATGTTACACATAAAATATTTTCCCTTTGCATTTATGAAAAGGTTCTGACATTGTTTAAAAAAGATAACTCCAAAATTTTGTTTTGAGAAGTTTTTTTTTTCTATCGGCCTTTGATTTGAAAATTGCGTGCATTGCGAGGATTTCAAATCATTGAAGAGGTACGTTTCGTCAGAAGTTAGTCTAAAATGGGAAAAGGCACGGAAAATATTATTATAATATTATCAAAAGTTAGCCACAAGCAACTTAACGCACTGAATTCATATTTAAATCAATGTCCTCAAAGACAGCCGACAAGGAATATACAAAAATACGCCGTCTATGATCCAATCAAAAGCCCTTTACTTGTTTGCAGATAGGGTGAGAACTTAAATAGACGGGTCCATTCGTAAAAAATTGGGATATTTTTAAGGGATTTTTGGAGATTAGTATATTCTTTTAAACGTTTTTCACACTGCGACACTTAGTTTTCGGTATAGAAAAATATTGATTTTTAAATTTTTATCGATTTAGAATGGTGACGAGGGTGGTCAATAATATCGATATGATCTAAAATCGATTACTGAATTTTACAGAGCTACTGGACTTGCGTTTGCGTACGAAAATAGACTTTTTTTTTTGGTGATAGCTTACAAAAAAGTTAATAAAAATATGTATCATTTACTGTTCATTTACGATAAATAATTATTGACCTTAAAATATTGTATACGTGCGAACGAAAAAAAAATTCTCATGCAAAACAAATTAAAATTAAGAAAAAGTTTACAAAATGGTTAAAAAAATTCAGTAAATTAAAAAAAAATATCAATGATCTTTCCGCACTTTCAAACTTATAAATAACATTATTTGCTTTTTACGGTTTATCAACCCTTTGCAGGTTATTTAAAGCCAGAAATTATTTTTAAATTTTAAGATTTTTTTTTTTTTTTTTTTTTTCAGATAATAATTTACTGATTAACCCATAGCTGGAAGTAAATGAAGGCTGTTTGCGTGTAAGAGAATACATCGAACCCGACTAGAACTAGAATTCAGCTCTCCGATTTTCAATTTCGAGCCGTTGTAAATTGCTCCAGCAGTACGTACAAGCTTTACAGCAGCTCGTAATCACAAGAGGTCACCCATCTAGGTACTGAAAAGCTCGATGTTGCTTAACTCGAGATTTATTGCGTACATAATACAGCAATTGTAGTCGACGTTGCTTAACTCGCACGAGAAAATAAATATTAGCATTAAATAACATTTGATTTTTACGGTTTATCAACCCTTTGCAGGTTATTTAAAGCCGGAAATTATTTTTAGGTTTTAAAATTTTTTTTTTTAATTAGATAATAATAATTCTATTGATTAACCCATAGCTGGAAGTGGACGAGTTGGATCCGTATCTTTGCCAAAGGGTATCTGCGCGTAAATGAATATTACGAACCTGACTGGAATTCGAACTCGGCTCTCCGATTTTTAATTCCGGGCCGTTGTAAATTGCACCAGCATCATATACACCTAGTATCTATTTACCCATCTAGGGACTGAAAAGGCTCGACGTTGGTTAGTACTCCTGTGATAATACGAGAACCGGTGTTTCAACGCGATATCAAAGCCTATCAGAAGTTGAATCATTCGGCTAAAAGGTACTTGACAGGTGATTTACAGCAGGAAGATGCGTTACTTCGGCGTAGGTACTAAACAGAATCGTTTTCTTTATTTATTTATCGAACTAGAAAAACCAACAGCATGATTGATCGAAGTTCGGTGATAAACCATTTTCTATTGTTCATTGCGCTTCAGCTATTTATTAGTAACTACCGCGAAGGGAAGTAATAAAATTATAGCGTGAGTGAGGAAAACAGTCACATTTAATTAAATATTAATAAAATAATTAGAAATAAAAGAGAAAAATGGTGTTAGAAATAAAAAAAAGCGATCTAAACGGATATGTAATATCAGTCCTCCTATCTAGCAATGAACCCTTTCCCCACAGACGAAGAGATTGTAACAGAGATGACGTTCTACAGAAGGATGCTGAGAATACTATAGACAGAGAACGTAAACTTCGAGAAAGTTTAAAAAAAAAAAAAAAAGAACAAAAATGTCAATGATACAAAAAAAAAACCAAAAAAAAAACCAGAAAGTAGACATTTCTGGAACATAATGAAACAATCGGAAAATTTTCTAAACTGATTGATTAATTTGGTTTTTACGGCTTATCAACCTTTTGCGGGTTATTTAAAGCCAGAAAATATTCTTAGATTTTAATAATTTTTCGGGAGATTATTATATTTTTTTTTTACTGATACAAGTCCTAGAGTGGGGAAAAAGTGGATTCATGCCTTTCCCAGAGAAATTCATAAGAGAATAACGAACCCGAGTGGGAATTCGAACTCGGCTTTCCGACTTCTCATTCCGTGCCCTTATCCATCACACCACCCGTACACTCAAACGTATTCCCGATCGGTCCCCATCTAGGTACTGACTAGATTCGACGTTGCTTACCTTCGGTGATCGTAGGGGAACCGGTATATATATGTAACAGACCAAAGTATTTGTAAAAAGAAAAACCAACATGAAGCCTACAAAGGAAAAAAATAAATAAAAATTCAAGAGTAAAACGGATAAAAAAAAATTGGGCAAAGTAGACACTAAGTGAGAAGAAAAGACCTTTAAAAGACAGACCCATAGCTACTGGTGTCGTGGGCCCCGATCGAATATATAAACCCTCTACTACATTTCAATTTTCATAAGGTAGTATTCATCTAATATACAAATTTTATTGTAACCTAATTATATACAATAATGGATCATATGCAATAGAGGTGAACAATTCAACGAGAAAAACTGAAAATAAATACAATGACTATTTATTGTAAGATAATTACAATTTTGGCCGATGGTGTAATTGGATGAGGCTAGTCAACACTGACTATCCTACACTTAGCTAATCTGATACACAACCCATTCGTTCATTACAATATAGTCCATCACTACAAGAACTCATGCATGATCATTCAATCTAACATATACCAGAATACTTCATATTCACAGGGATCCTACTAAAATATACCTGACATGTATCTTAATATAAATTAGAGACATGTCATAATAGATCATTCCATTTTAAACCAGCAATGTTTTGTAGCAATTTTTAAAATATCAACTTGAGATTTTTATCGTTAAAAAGTAGGATAATTTTAACACAACCTTCGACCTTATGGATAAAAATAATGGATTTTATAAAGTATTTCTTTAGAGACTTAGCATGAATAAAAACAAAATTCACAGATTTGGCCAAAAAAAAAAAAAAAAAAAAATAAAATAAAATAAAAAAAGAAAAAAGACCCCTAGGATGACGTCAAAATTTACGAACATTTTTCATCCCTTAATAATCATTTGTGTTTAGATTAATTTCTAAATGTGGGTAGAAAAAAAGCAAATGTTGATATGACAGCGACTGTCACAAAGCACTGCCCGGGGGCCCCAATTTCGATATCACCAAACATTGGAACGAAAACAATCCCCCCCCCGTAGATTGAATAATGGGTACAGTTTGAAATTTCCTGTTGGTTAGACAGATCGATATACACTAGGTGAGAACAACGACCGGAACGTTGTGATAACAACAACAAAGATGAGGAAAACAGTCCACATGCAAACAGGGCCGGATTTAGATGAAGAGAGATCCTAGGCTATGCCACTTGTGAGGCCTTTCCAAATTTCCCAATCTCACGAGTAGAGGAAAGTAGGAGAGTTTTAAATTAAACAATTTGAGTAAAGACGGGGGGGGGGTAATTTTTTTTATCACGTGACCCATCAGGGTTATAGGGGCACAATGCACTACTGCAGCCACAGTAGAAGTGGTGTTTCTTAGTCAAGATAACCCGACGGAGCCCAACCCTCTCCAGGCCGGTTTTGAATTCAGAGTTTTTCCTTCTCCTAGACCGATTGCCACCTCTAGAACCCAGTCTGTCCTGCTATTTAGCCATAGCTGGGAGGAAAGCACGTAAGTGAATGTAATGAATCCGACTGGAAATGTTTATTTAGAGTTTACAATACGTTATGACAGCATGTGTAAGAAAGGTCTATGATAGTGTCAAAAATATTATACGCCTTGGAGACCCCATAGGTTTTAAGGCACTAGGTAAATCCGACATTGCATTATAAATACTGATTACTCTTCATCCCAGAAATTCAGATAGAAATCCAAAATGCTTGCATTCGTTTTTATTTTAATTTACTTTAAAAATGTCAAAAGCGCATTTATTAGTTGAATCTAGATATTCTCCTTTGTCATGAAAATTATGACATTTTTCTCTCTTTTGCCAATAGACCTGTAACGTTTTTCTTTTTTTTTGCCAATAGACCTGTAACATTTTCTCTCTTTTGCCAGTAGTCCTGTGACTTTGTTCTTTTAGCTAATAGTCCTGTAACTTTTCTTTCTTTTAGCCAATGGGCCTGTGACTTTTTCTCTCTTTTAGCCAATAGTCCTGTGACATTCTCTTATAATCTAGCTATTTTCAAGACGTTTCTTCAGCCTATGTGTTTTTGTATCCGTTTTTCTCCTCTCTCAGAGACCTTATCGACTTCATAAAAAGCCGAACATTTCCTCCAGAATGTGACGCTAAAAACAACAAAGTAGAAGGTAGTTTAGAAAACGTGCTAGTTTAGTCTGTGGATAGTGATAGACATTACAAATAGATTACTTGAATCCAGGGGTGAATGGGTCGCGAGTTTGTATAAGCATCTCTACGATAGATAAACAGGGATTTACGTATTCATACACGGTGTAAATGTGTTATGATATCGTGACTGGGTAGGAAAAGAAAAGAAAAAACGATAGATATTAAAAATAAGTTGGCGTTTGGAAAGATTTAAAAACTTAAGAAGTGCATGGAGTAAAAAAATGTATCAGGATAGGCAAGTAATAATATTTCAAATAATACGAGACAAACGTAAAGAAAGAATTATACTTAGAAGGAAGAGATGGGTGAATAATAAGACGGTATAGGAGAGTCGCATGTAGCCCTTTGTGAGAGAAACAGACGGATAGATAGATAGATAGATAGATAAACTGGCTTAGATAGAGTGATAGATAGAGAGAGTGAGAAAGAGATAAACAGGCTTAGATAGACAGATAGAGAGAGAGAGATAAACAGGCTTAGATAGACAGAGAGAGAGAGAGAAAAACAGGCTTAGATAGACAGAGAGAGAGAGAGAGAGATAAACAGGCTTAGATAGACAGATAGATAGAGAGAGATAAACAGCTTAAATAGACTTAGATAGAAAAACAGGCTTAGATAGACAGAGAGAGAGAGAGAGAGAGAAAAACAGGCTTAGATAGACAGAGAGAGAGAGAGAGAAAAACAGGCTTAGATAGACAGAGAGAGAGAGAGAAAAACAGGCTTAGAGAGAGAGAGAGAGAAAACAGGCTTAGATAGAGAGAGAGAGAGAGAAAACAGGCTTAGATAGACAGATAGAGAGAGAGATAAACAGGCTTAGATAGACAGAGAGAGAGAGAGAAAAACAGGCTTAGATAGACAGAGAGAGAGAGAGAAAAAAACAGGCTTAGATAGACAGAGAGAGAGAGAGAAAAAAACAGGCTTAGATAGACAGAGAGAGAGAGAGAGAAAAACAGGCTTTGATAGACAGATAGAGAGAGAGAGAAAAACAGGCTTTGATAGACAGATAGAGATAGAGAGAGATAAACAGGCTTAGATAGAGAGAGAGATAAACAGGCTTAGATAGAGAGAGAGATAAACAGGCTTAGATAGAGAGAGAGATAAACAGGCTTAGATAGAGAGAGAGATAAACAGGCTTAGATAAACAGGCTTAGATAGAGAGAGAGATAAACAGGCTTAGATAGAGAGAGAGATAAACACTTAGATAGAGAGAGATAAACAGGCTTAGATAGATAGAGAGAGAGATAAACAGGCTTAGATAGATAGAGAGAGAGATAAACAGGCTTAGATAGATAGAGAGAGAGATAAACAGGCTTAGATAGACAGAGAGAGAGATAAACAGGCTTAGATAGACAGAGAGAGAGATAAACAGGCTTAGATAGACAGATAAACGGGCTTATATATATATATATGAGAGAGAGAGAGATGGATTGATAGATGGGTTGATGGATTGGTAGATAGATGGATTGATTGATGAGTTGATAGATGGATTGATATACAGACTTAGATAAAAATAGATTTTTTTTCCATGTCTATCGATCTATCGGAGAAAGTTCATTCACTAAATTCATATGCATTGATCGAGAGATTACCAACAAATCAATATTATTCAACCTAAGATGTTTGGTTTGGTTGATAATTACATGTGGTTCGAAATTTATAGCCAACTAATTGAAACGATAAAAATTCAGATCGTATTTTTTTCATTTGACTCGACTACCGTTTACCGGGCACGCTTAGCAAAGTAGTAGCAATTTATCGTTCGTTTAATTTTTTTTTTTTTTTTTTGACGTAAGATTGGAATTAAGCTTCCAATGGTGACATAAGGGCTATTTTTTTTTTATATTTTCTTTTTATTCAAGCATGATATCGGCATTGGTGTTCAGGAAATTTAATTCAACTGTTTTGTGTCATAAATCACTACCCGTTTCTTAAGGGTACCCGGCAAACAGTAATTGCGCCATATGGGAAAACGACATTTTTATATCAAGAACAATTTTAGGGAAATCTATGATAAAGTGGGAAAAGTTTTCCTGTTACACGTTTTGTCATTTAGGACTTCATCAGACAAAAATATTAAAAAAAAAAAAAAATAATTAAATTCCTGACGTTCCTTTTATTTTTTGGATGCTTTTTTTTAGCTTTTTAGCCTGACGAAGTCCTAAAAGGACGAAACGCATCAGCACAAAAACTTTTACACTTTTTTATCATTATAATTCTATAAGTTTTACCAGTTTGTGACTGGAAGGGATAATTCCGAGGGAGATATAAATCCAGGGAGAGCTCAATATAAACTACAGAGCATTATAAGGATAATATTAAGACGGAGACTTTAATTATCCATATTGTATGTATATATATATATATTATTAATAAAAATTCCGTATTTAAAATCTTTCTCTTCGTGCTTCAATTTAGTCAAAAGGCCTACTAAGATATAATAAGTCCTGCTATCATCAGTCTTATATATATTGTTATTTTGTCTTTTTATTCCACAAATTTCATTAACCGGCCTATAATGAGTATGTACAGAACAACTCTTCCAAACCGAACATCCGTGATGTACGGTATTGAGGATACTGTTCGGATTCGGGGAATAAAAGGCTGCTGCAGCAAGCTTAAAATTAAGCATAACTTTTAGAGTTTAGGATACAAAGTTAGTTTTGAACGTTGATTCATTTTATTTATTTTAGATTGAATAAATGTAAAATATAACTGACAACCAACAGTAATGGAAAAATTTGTGCTAAAACAAACAGCGTAATTTGTGAAAAACTAAGAGACTTTATGAAATGTTTAAACATTTATAGAAGTTATAAATTTATCATTCGTCCATTGTCAGATCTTCCTGAATTTTGCTGCGTTTTCATTTGCGTTCATGAAAGTTGTTTCTATGGCACTTTTGGTACAAGACATGCTTTCACTTTAACATTGTGCAGTTTCTTTTTAATAATTTCATTTTGTAATGCGCGTGTGAAACAAGGTCTTTGCTCAATGAATTTAAGTAATGTTTCAATAGACTTCTGTTTTTTTACCATGATATTGTTTCACCATCACATTGATCGTCTAATATAGACTCACTACTACTGTAAGTATCATGATTAAAACTATCTTGAATACTGTTTGTCTTCACTATGAGTATTTTATAAGCTTCATATTTATGTCAATACAAAAGTTTAGATTTGAAGATGAGTTCAAATTCAAGGAAGTCCTATTCGAGAAAGCCTAGATTATGCCATATTTGGATTTGGGGAGTTGTACTATACACACACACACACACATATATATTAAATGATAACATACACAGATACATCCCCTTCTCAGGAACCAATAAAACTGTCAAAATGACCAAGGGAATTCAGAGCAGTATGAATCGATCCATCCTCTATCTTAAAAAAAAAAAAAAAAAAACTTAAAAGAGGCCGTTTGACCAACACAAGGACTGGCCAAAATTAACGATAAAAACAAATGAAAACTACGGATAAAGTTAATTTTCTTCAGTCATTCATTCCTGTAGTTCACTGCTACTAACAAGCAGGAATTTTTTTCTCTCCTGATGATGACCATGCTGGCCGAAACTATCAAGAAATCTAATTGAAATAATAAAAGAAAAAATATTAATATACAACCCAGTCTGTCTGAAAATTTTAATTTTTTAATTTCTCAAATTTTTTTATTGTTCAAAACACACACATATATATATATATATATATATATATATATATATATATATATTACATTCACTTACGTGATAATAATACCCTTGGGAGAAAGGCATGAATCCATCACTTCTCCCCCAGCTATGGGTAAATAGTAGTACGGCTTGGGTTCTATAGCATTGGATGGTAAGAAGGAAATCTCTGAATTCAAAAACTGTATGTAGCCCTGGTGAAGCACATACTATGCAGCTAAAGAAAGGATCATTCACATTGATTCGATGATCCCGACTGCGGTCGACTCTTTTTTCGTCTATGGAATTCTGAAGTAGACGCGCTGAATCTAAAATACTAACAAACTCAGTGACAAATTTTATTTGCATTTAATCGTAAATAAAATTATATAGAAATTTAAATATTTGTATATCTTTTTTTTACTTTTATTTATTTTTTACGAAATCTCACATTTATTGAAACGCCTGGTCTGTCTAGAAGAAGAAGAAAAAAACATTTAAATTTGCAACTCGAGGTGAGTCCTGTAATTTTATACTTTTCTAAAAGCAGACTGATCGACAATTGCGTGGAATAATTTAGCGTACGCGCACGACGTTCGTCAGTGCTTAAAGGTTTACTACGCTACACGTATAGTTCAATATATTGATTTGGAAGAGCCAATTCCAATAGCGTGGTAGTTCTGCGAGATGGATCGAAAGACAGGCGGATCGTCAACACAGTTTAGAAGAGATTTTCGTATTTTTACCGTGTTCGTGTGTTTGTTTGCATTATTACAGCACAGGCTTTTTTGGCGATATACCATCAGTGTACAGAAGGTCGACCTGTTTAGATAGACAAACACATAGAATGATATACGAAAACTCTTAGGACTTCCTACAGCAGGCACCCATAAATAAATGCAAGCACATGACTGTCAACAATGTATCAGGAGAGAGAGGCATAGTAAATTGCTTACAACGAAATTACAATATTTAGCTATGTAGACGCGTGTGTACAGAGTCATATGCGTGTCATAGAGCTTTTAGACATTTTACAAGGACGCAAACGTATCCAGGACTAAAAGCGTAAGGAGGTAGAGTTATAATAATTCGTAAAAGGAATCACTTAACGGTAATCTTAGCTGTTATTAGGGAATGAGTTCATAAAAGAAATGCAACTATCGTCAACCGCGAAACCAAACCAGGTCGAGGATAAATGTGACTTTAAAATATGAACTGGAATTGATGGAGCGACAGATATGAATAGATAAATAATCTATTCATATCTACGTTTATAGTTATTTAATAGATAAAGATAGATAAACAGGTATAAATAAAGATATAAGGATAGCTAGATAAAGACAAAGATAAAATATATACGAATAGAAAGATATGAATAGATAGACAATGACAGATGTAAATAGATAGATAGATGTGAATAGATAGATAGATAGCTATGAATAGATAGATGCGGATAGATAGATAGATAGCTATGAATACATAGTACATACATACATAGATAGATAGATAGCTATGAATAGATAGATGCGGATAGATAGATAGATAGATAGCTATGAATACATAGATATTACATAGATATATACATAGATAGCTATGAAAAAAAATATATATGAAGACATATAGTCTTAAGATGTGCTATATTTATGGGATAAAGTGCTCAATATCAGAGATAGAGCGTGTGTAAATATAAAAGTGAACGTAGAAGTCAACACTTAGAGACGACAGTCTGTTTCATGCTAGGAGAGTGGCCTGACGATTTCATCTAGCATGAAACAGCCTGTCGCCTCTAAGTGTTGACTTTATGTTACTTTATATATATATATATATATATATATATATATATATATATATATATATATATATATATATAGAGAGAGAGAGAGAGAGAGAGAGAGAGAGAGATAGATAGATAGATAGATAGGGGATAGAATAAGCGCATTACCAGAGTGTCACGGTTAGCGTACTGGCTGAGTTAAACCCATTTTTAGCGAGTTCGTTCTCAGCCTGTTGCACCAAGGATGAATGTTTTTGTTGGAATTAGCCATGCCAAGGAAACCAATGAAAAGTTTCGAAATAAATTTTGATAAGATACTTTTAAAGATAATGCGAAAAAAAAAAAAAAAAAAGGAAAAAAAGAAACGTTACAACAGGAGTAGTTAGAAGGAAGGACAGACTGAGAGACTGAAACTGCGAACAGAATATTATTAAATAAACATTTGAAACAGAAGCAAACAGAATGACAGATATGAAATGAGATAGATACAGAGGTAGATATGAACTGAGATAGATACAGAGGTAGATATGAACTGAGATAGATACAGAGGTAGATATGAACTGAGATAGATACAGAGGTAGATATGAACTGAGATAGATACAGAGGTAGATATGAAATGAGATAGATACAGAGGTAGATATGAAATGAGATAGATACAGAGGTAGATATGAAATGAGATATATACAGAGGTAGATATGAAATGAGATATATACAGAGGTAGATATGAAATGAGATATATACAGATATGAACAGCGATCGATAGATAGATATGAACTGAAATAGATAGGTGACATTAGATAGATAGATAGATAGATAGATGTGACCTGAGATAAATATATATGAACTGAGATAGATATAGGTGAACTGAGCTAGAAAGATTGATAGATATGTAATGAGACTGATAGATAGATATATCATAAATGAAATGATATGAAAGATAGACTATTCAAAATTGATTAAATGCCGTTTTAACTTTAGCAGTGAAAAAACGAGATGAAAGTTTTAATTCGCGACGTGAATAAGCGATCGTAAACTCATAAAGAGAATTAAATATCTGACACAATGGAACTTATTCATATACGACTGTTAATGTTCACAAGCATCCCCATCTCTTTATGAATAGTGGGTGGTAGGGGTATGGGGGGATTACTTGGAACAGATCGGCAAAATTTGCTGCCTTGCCGCCCCCGCCAATGAGCCTGTGTTTGTGTGCGCGCGCCTGTCGGTCAGCGAAAGTCGCTTTCTTTTTGTAGTGGGCTACTTTGTGTGAGCATGGAACTAAAGTGAACGCGTGTCTGCACAGATCAATCTACCAATCAGTGTTCGAAGTCTAATCTTATTATCAATATATCGAATAGATAGCGTTGCTGATAGCCGTGAGTATCCTCCTGGCCTTGTGCGTACGTGCGGGCGTGTGGATGGTTGCGGGTTTTGGGAAGGTTCACTTTTTACCGTGTAAGGGATCACAGATATAATGACATTAAAAGCTTGACTAAAAACGAAAAAGCAAACAGATGGATAACCTGACGTCGGTGTAGGGCAGATCATTCAATCATTTCATCGAGAATTGGGATCAGAAAAAATTAACGCTGATGTGAAAATTATATTAACAGACTGAGATTATTAAATATAGGCGTGAAGATAGATAGATAGATAGATAGATAGATAGATAGATAGATGCATAAAAAGGCCGATGGAGGGCTGGATGAATAGAGTGACTGATGGATGCATGGGTAGACAGACCGATGAATGGGTGGATGGATGGACAGACCGACCAATAGATGGACGGATGGGTTGAAAGAACGGTGGACAGATCGATGGGTAGACAGACCTATGGATGGAGCAATGAATAGATAGATGAATAAACAGACCGATAGATGGACGGATGTGTAGACAGATGGAGGGAAAGATGGATGGGTAGACAGATGGAGGGAAAGATGGATGGGTAGACAGATGGAGGGAAAGATGGATGGGTAGACAGATGGAGGGAAAGATGGATGGGTAGACAGATGGAGGGAAAGATGGATGGACAGATGGAGGGGAAAGATGGATGGGTAGACAGATGGATGGATGGGTAGATGGATGGATGGATGGATGGATGGACAGATGAACGGATAGATGGATGGATGGATGGACAGATGAACGGATAGACAGATGGAGGGATGGGTAGACAGACGGATGTATGGATGGGTAGGTAGACGGGTGGACAGAATGGATGGTTAGACAGTTGGATGGATGGTTAGACAGACCGATGGATGGATGGTTAGACCGATGGATGGATGGTTAGACAGACCGATGGATGGATGGATGGATGGTTAGACAGACCGATGAATGGATAAACAGACCGATGGATGGATGGATAGACCGATAGATGGATAGATAGACCGATGGGTAAACAGATACAGACTGATGGAGGGATGGGTAAAGTGCCGAATACGACAGATAAGAAACAAAACATGACACTAAGAGATAGATATGAAAAGACGTTATGGATTCCAATATCGACATATATGAGCTAAATGGGATGATACTATGTATTGGTTAAGAAGACTGTTTAATTACAGACACACCAAGATGGATTCGAGGAAAAAAAGCTCGTTAACTTAAACGCCCAGAAATCTAGATTGAGTAGGTATGCACTACACTTACAGTACAACACCGATCAGGATAAAGGTTAATTTATTGCCGTATGGTAAGCATTCGTTAGTATGCTTGCATGAAAGCATTGGTATCTGTAGGTAATTCATTTACAACATTTACTCAGCTGTTTATAGACAGTAAAAAAAAAAAAACCACAAAATCGTTATCACCCGTTGAAATCGCTTCGGACGTCCAAATGAAACGTTGTCGAGTATTAACTGAGCGGTGATTGAATGCGTAATGGGCTTTAAAAGTCGAGAACGTTGAACAAAATATGCAAAAAAGAGATTTTTTTTTCTAATCATGTTTAGTGTCTTAGGGGTGGGGCGAAAGCAAGGTCGACCTTAATGAGTTTTGTTGATGTGCTTTGTAGTGTATGTGGAAATAAAACACTTTTTTTTTCTTTCTCCATTTCTTTCCCATTATGTGCTTTTATGCGCACATGCATGTAGGAAAGCATGACATTTTTAAAAAAATGTAGAAAAGAATAAAGATAGATCGACAAATATACTGATGTTTCGAATTGCTGATTGCGTGTGTGTGGGTGAGTTGGGGGGCGATCGGAAATATTATCATTTGTATAGAAACGTATATAAAAAAGCAAGGCGAGGATAGATAGATAGATAGATAGATAGAACCAAATAGAGACAACAAGAAACAAACGCCTTCCGATGCGTAGAAAGATAGCTAGAAAAAAAAGAGATAGATAGGTAGAGATAGATAGCGAGAGAGAGAGAGATTAATAGACAAAGATAATTTCAAAGATAATGCGAAACAGACGATACAACAGGAGTAGTTAGAAGGAAGGACAGACTGAGAGATGGAAACTGCGAACAGAATATTAAATATACATTTGAAGCAGAGGAAAACAGAATGATAGATATGAACCGAGATAGATAGATAGATAGATAGATAGATATGTACTCAGCTGGGATAGATTGATAGACATGAATTTAGATAGATAGATAGAATTTTAAATATTAACAGACATTGATTAGACAGATTATGACCTTAGATAGATAGATAGATAGATAGATAGATAGATAGATATGTACTCAGCTGGGATAGATTGATAGACATGAATTTAGATAGATAGATAGATAGATAGATAGATATGTACTCAGCTGGGATAGATTGATAGACATGAATTTAGATAGATAGATAGATAGATAGAATTTTAAATATTAACAGACATTGATTAGACAGATTATGACCTTAGATAGATAGATAGATAGATAGATAGATAGATAGATAGACAAATTCTATGAAGAGATTTATAGATAAGAACAGTAAATCTGAACAGAGTGAAATAAGGCGATAGATAATGCGGCCTAGTTAAAAGTAGATATGAATATTGTGTATAAGAGAGATCGTTGAATAAACGGACGGGTAGATAGATAAAGAAGAGACTGGTAGATCAATTTAAAAGCTAGATAAACAGAATGAAATATGTATTTACACACAGTTGTGATGAGAGTGTGACATATGAATAACAATTGATTGCTAAACAGATAGACAACTAAAAGATGGATATATATATATATATATATATATATATATATATATATATATATAGACTCTCTATATAGATAGACAGGTAAAAATAGAAAGCTAGCTAAAAATAAATAGATAAAAAAGATATGAACGGACAGTAACAGATAGATATAATTTTGAAACAGAGATAATTGGATAGATAGATAGATAGATAGATAGATAGATAGAAGGATGGATGGAAAGAACGACAGACCGATAGGTGTATGGATAGACCGAAAGATCGATAATTGTATCGATAGATAGAACGACAGACCGATAGGTGGATGGATAGATAGAGCGACAGACCGATAGAAAGCATTTACATTTAAACCTTAATGAGTTTTTTGTTGATGTGTATGTAGCGACGAGTTGGAAAGAAAATGCTTTTTTTCTTTTCTTTCTCCATTTTTCTACATTGATGTGCTTTTTATGCGTAACTGCATGTAGAAATACATGAAATGCATAGAAAGATAAATCGACAGATATACTGATGTTTGCAATTACTGACTCCGTGTGCACGGTAGGCAGATTCAGAGAGAGAGAGAGAGAGAGAGAGTAAAAGCAAGAGCGCCGTCCTCGACAGTCAACACTCAACACAACAGATATATCGATAGATATACTGATGTAGCTATTTAAAAAAAAGAAGACCCTGTTGCTTGTGTGTGTGTTTATTCTGATACAGTTCTTAAGGCAAGAGTGGAAAAAAGGTCTAGGAATAGCAAGCCAGCGACATTGACTGATGAGAAGTTACAGGCTGCAAAACAGATAGACTGATAGACATACTGATGCATCGCTTGCGTGCGTTTTGCTGTTTTCTTAACTTGATTTTACCCACCACCCAATAAAATTTCTTTTCGTACACAGCGTGCAGAGTATATATATATATATATATATATATATATATATATATATATATATATAAAAGAAGATATTTTGATATGAAAAGAGATGCAATGATAAAAATATAAAAACTGACTCTGCATAGTCATCTAGCGAGCTCGATTTATCCTGTCGGCGAGAGTTGAGTGTGTAATCTGCAAACGCCTTTTTAGATTCTATGCACGATAATTTTGCTTTATTTTTCTTCTTTATAACCTATATCGTCATGACATCAGTTTTTAAACTGATGTCCCCCTCCCCCCAAAAAAACAAGCTATAATTTATAAACTATAATTTTGAAAAGTGAAAATTTCATTGAAATATGTTGGAAAATTTCCAAGTTTTCATCTGAAACCAAGAAAATACGAACTCCAAGCAAATTGGTCGGAATATATAGATAAAAAAGGCGATGGTTTTTAAAAGAACGGATGCTTTCTTTTATTTTGTTCCATATTCTTAAAAGAAGCTATAAGCTGTAATTATAAAATATAATTTAAGAAAATGAACATTTCACTGAAATATGTTGGAAAATTTCCAAGTTTCCACCAAGAATTAAGAAAATATGAACTTTTCAGCAAATTGGTCGTAATAAAACTTATATTGCGAACAATTTGCTATCATAAAAGCTAAAAGTTAGTACTTTTTAAACAGATGCCTCCGTTTTTGCCATATTTCTAAGCTAATTCCTAAACTTTAGTTAAACTATTAGGGTCTACCGGGGTAAAATGTGTAAGATATCGCCTATTTTGAAATTAAATTCATTATCTTATTTTCTCTCGAGGACTTAATGGAAAAAAAAGCCATATTTTTAAAATCTCCTCTTTAAGGCAGCATAGTTACTGGGTACGTATATGAACACATAATCCATAAAACAAGCTTTGTTTGGACCTTATTTTATTGTACAAAATTGGAAAGGATCCCGTGGTAAAATAATTAAGCAACTATTATTATTAAATCCTTTATTAATACATGTGCCCCTAACTTCAAGCTATTTATTACGGCCCCTAATAAATAGCTTGAGATAATATGCTCTTACTAAACACTTTTCAATCACATATCAGTCACTTTGGGGTCAAATACTTAGCAAAATAGATATTTATGTGGGAGCACAATATAGGGGCATATGGAATCGAATTTTCACAAGGGATGTTGCGAGCAATTTTGAAGAGGATATGCAAATGATATAATTTGGGAAAGTGAATTTCAGTGAAATATATTCTATAAATTTCCAAGTTTCCAACTAAAATCAAGAATTGGTCGATTCGTTTGTTACTGCTCATCAACACTTTGCAGGTAGTTTAAAGTCAGAAAAAAGTTTTAGATTGGAAGATTTTTTTTTTTTTGAGAAGTCCTTAATAGTTTAATGTAAGACATAGATGAGCGGAGAAAAGGTGGATTCATACTTTTCCCAACGGTATTTGCGCATAAGTGAATATAAAAAACGAAACCCAACGGGAATTGGAACCCCGCTCTCCGAATAACAATTCCGTATCCATTACGCCACCCGTACACCTAAGCTTACAGCACCTGGTACTTCCAAGCGGTCACCCATCTAGGTACTCGACGTTGCTTAACTTCGACGATCATACGCGAATCGGTGTCTTCAACGTGAAATCAAGATAAGAACTTTAAGCAAAAAGTCACAATATAAAACTAAAAAAAAAAACTATATATTTCTAAAAAGAAACCCTTAAAGAAAGTGAGAATTTCCCTGAAATGCGTTGATAAATTTCCAAGTTTTCATTTGATACCAAAAAGATAAAAACTTTAAGCAAATTAGTTACAATATAGATAAAAAAAGTATTGCTTTTTCAAATTGATGTTTTCTTTTTTACCATAAACTAATTCTACTTACTAAACTAAACTATATACCTATATAAACTCTCATCAATTTACAAATGAGCTATGTAGCCGTAAGTTCTATTCTGACAGTTTCTTTTCTCGCACTTCTCTCTTGTGGAACTCCCTTCCCGCTCCATACTATCCAGCCAACTTTAATCTACAAAAATTTAAATGCAGTCGTTGTCTACTGTCTTCGTGATTACTCTTTCCTCTTCCCGCTTATTATTAATGGTTCTGTTCCTAATTCTTCCACATCCTGTAACCCCTTGTGTCTTAGCGGCTTTACTGCCTTGCGCAGGGTGATACCGATTGAAAAAAAAACCCAAAAAAAACAAACTATAATTTGACAAAGTGATATTTTTTGTTACTACAAAAGCGAGAACAGAAACGAATTTTTCAATATTACCGACGACAAACTCCATAACGGATTTAAAAAAAAAAAAGTGGCAGCTGAGGTGGTTGATTTATTATTAGAAGAAATCAAATTTCTTTTCATTTTAGCAAGCAGCTACAAACGATGACTGTAAGAACTTTAACAAACACTTATCATCATGCCGAGAGAAATTTAGTTGTGAAAAAACAAAAATAAAAATATCTTATATTTTTATATTTAAACAACTTTTTCTTTGTTGTGGGTTGATTCAAACCCGCAGTAATATCACCATTGAAAAAATAGGCTTCAGTTTTTTAAACTAAAAGGATCCGCTTAAAGACATCTGTGGCTCATGTAGATTGTTATGTTGCTTTTTTCTTTTTTTCACACTATATAAAGGAATGTGTTTGTATATCGCTGTGTAAGATTAATTTTGCAAAATCAAGTGTTCTTTTTGCAAACAATACGCACTTGTATATAAGTTTTGATGTGCTGTTAAAATCTCTACAGTCAGAACGTATCAACGAGAACGGAAACCTTGAAATGTGTTGGAAGGTAAGACGGACATAGAACGATGTTTTAAATCAGAATAATTTTTTTATTTATTTAACCTGCCGTTTGGGTATATCAATTCTAAGAAGTTTAAAGAACGATGTACCTATGCAGACTTTTAAATAAACATCTAGAGAGCTATTTTTTTATATAAAAGGAAAAAAATGCCTTTTTTTAACGAAGCAAATTTTAAATTCGGGTAGACTGAACTAAGGTAGCAATTAGTCTTGGAGAAGAAGAAAAAAATGAATTTAAAAAAGCATAAAGAAAGGCTATTGGAAACAATTCCACACTTTCAAAATGTCACGGTAATCCAGAGGAATGAAATCTTTTTAGCGAGTTATAATCGTCTATTTTCTGAATGCAAAACGACTACTGTGAATTTAAAACCGTTAAAAAAAAAGAAAAAAAGAAAGTGCAACAGGAAACCACTTCATTATCTTTCCCAAAAAGTCACTGAAAATCACAAATAATAAAGAAAAGGAACGTGCGGAGAGCCATGATCGCCTACATTCTGAAAGAACATAGCTTTAACAAAGACGTAATCCGTTTCCAGCTGTCATTTACTGTCTTTTCTATAAGCAAATGAAAGAATTTCAAGATTAAAAAATAAGTTTTCCTCGCGTCCATTCCTCTTACTTCGATTTTCCTCAACCCACTGACAAAGGTGCGAGTCTTTTAAGAGTCCGTAAGACATCTTTACAAAAAGAGTAAAATATTATTATTGACGACAACGACTGTTTTAGTAGTAACAACATTTACTCTTCGTAGAGAAACGCATGGTCTCGTAGAATCTTCCCGTTGGTTTCAAAGGAAATTGTTTTCGGACGAGGTAAAAACCTAAAATTCGTTCCTTATAGATCTTTATTGTTACTTTAATAAAAGACAATGGTTAATTAATACAATACTGAAGTCGCGTTGTTTTTTTTTTTCAAAAGTTACAATATAAATCCAGAAATCCATTATTTCTCCTTACACTATTCATTTCTAAGAACGAACAATTCGAGGATGATTTACACAGAAATCCCAAAACGACGAACTGGGAATTGACGTACAGAGATACACGGTATCTCAACAGTTAGTTTATTTGTTGTTGTTTAACTTAAAAGACAAAAAAAAAAAAAATCGATCATGTTATTTAAAACAGAATATGATTTCCAATAAAGTCATAAACCAATCGATTCCTCTTGCAATACTTCAGCCCATAGAACATCGAACGGTCTTCTCTTCTCTTATTCCGTTAAAATAAAAAATTCCTTAATAAAAATTATCACGAAAAGAGTTTTCTTTTTGTTACAAAAGACGATATTTGAAAAATAAACGTGATTACTTATGGATTTTTTTAAAAACAAAAAATTCGTGACGATCCTTGACTTCTCAAAGTCGTTAACTTAAATTCTTAAAAAAAAAATCAATTTGTTGTCTTAAAAAAAAAAAAAATTAAATTAAAACAATTTCGCTTTATTTTTAATCAAAGAAATATTTTCAGTAATTGGCATAGTAACTACAAATTAAGTCAATCAATAGCCGATTTATTTCTCATTGGACTAGCTTTCTGCAAATAACAGTTCTGAGTTTAAAATTGTGAGACTCGCGCAACAAAAGAATAGGTCTTAATTTTTAATCTTAAAGAAAAAAAAATCTATTGTTTTTAGATCGAATCGATTCTTAATCAACTTTATGTTAATGAGTAAAATAATTCTTTAAAATAGTCAGCATTAGATTAAAAAAAAAACAAAAAAGAAAAAAAAATATCGTAGATTTGTTTGTTAAGGAAGTCCACGGTGCTGTCTCTTGTAAAAACCGGCCCAATATTACCGTTTCTGTAAAAAGCGGTCGAAGAAACAATTCGTAAAAACGATGTTTCGTGAACGGATGCCAAGAGAGAATTTGATTAGGTAAGCGAAACAAAATTGATCTCGGATCACAGACGATGTTTTATTCCCTAAATTCGAGACTGGAACTATTTTTAAAAAAAAAATATATTTACATTGTTGTAAAATTTCTTCTTCGTTTTTGCAGCCATTAAAATCAGGATTTCGACCTGTTCCGTATCTAGGGGCATTTTTAAAAAATTTTCTTTCATTTTTTTTTTTTTTGTTTTTGCGAAGGTTTTCCAGAGTCAAGGATTTTAA